CCCTGCAAGGGATGCGCCAGGTTGTGAATATCGCGGGCTGGAGCAGCTCTACGTATTCGCCAGGCGACAGAGAGATGCCCACGGAGCGCTTGGTAGGATTAGTAGCTGGACCAATGGAGCAAACGATGGCCTACTCTGGTATTAGATTGTGTCTCATAAAAACGACGCAGCGTGCGCACCTCTTGGTGAGGCAGAAATCTGGCGCGCGCAAGAGCATGTGCGCGATGTTGGTTACGGCGGTCCAGTAGCCCGACACCCGGTCGCCTATCTTTGTATGAATATCCGGGTCGTTGATATAGGGCGATCAATCCCTCCTCGGGGTTCATGCCACGCAGGATGGCCAGCAGGTCTGCAGAGCCAAGCTGTCACGTTTCGCGGCGTGCGTGTGGAGAGAATGACACACACCTTAGGCAAACGTCGTGCAGTTCTACGGCTGCAGCACCGTCTTCTGCGCATCGCCTGGGGCCTTGGGTCCGTAAAGATAAAGAGTAAGCTCATGGTGCCCACAGACCTGTCAGGAACCGAATCTACCTCGCACTTTCCTGTCGAGCACTGTCCGAGGGCAAGAATGCCGAGCGATTGGCGTACGAATTCAGAGAGCGTGGCGAACTCCTGCCCGAAGTTGCACACCACTGACATGTTCACCTCAATGTTGTCGCGCGCGATGGCGGTGAGTTCGTCGGACGTGTACGGCGTCGAGCACTCGTGGCTACGAATGTTCAATGGCGGCCGCACGCAGGCCTTAATTTGGTGCATGTGAAGCGTTGCATTCGAAAACACTTTGGAGTCGGCAAATCGAGTCAGCTACCGAGCGGTGAGTGGTGGGTAAAATAATTGTACAGCCCGACGATGAGTGATGATCTAAACAAGTAGCGGGACTAGGCCAGAGCATGCACAGACCTCGCGCGTCAAATTAAAAGCTTATTGGCTTAGAGAGATGTTCGTTTCATGCAGGTCGAGCGTCGTCACGAGAAGCCTTCACCCGGGATCCCTGGGCCAAACGCAGCATCGCACGACCACGATCTTCAAGTTACTGGAGTCAGTTCTCATTATGTGTACTCGCATGTGTAGCCTTATACCGCTTAGTATGTCACATAGTTCAACCTGCTTTCGAACGTTGTTATTGCCGTAGGAGTCGGTACACAGTCCAGGCCAGAAGGGGTTGTAACTTGTCGCGAACTGATCCGGGGTCTCGGCCCTTCACGCCCTTCAAGTGCCTCCGGTCACGTGAATAGGGACCCCGATTAACAATCTTCACTGCTTCCGACTTACCCTCTCTGCCGCGTCTCTCTGACTCCCTCTTCCTCCATATATCTTTGCCATGGCACATCACTCGGGCAGAGCAATTGGGCACAGCACTCCCCCTGATACTCGCAGCACGGGACACTCTGCTATCTCAGCAGTAGACTGCCAGTTTAAGTCTCGCTCAAGTTCGTCCGTCCAGAGGTGTGTAATGAGAACTCGATAGAAGGGGGCTAACTACTTTACAGGTTCCACGACCAATTCAAGACCAATTCAAGACCATCTCTCTGCGCTACATTAAGAAGGAAACCATGCGCCGCTACAAGATGATGAAGTCAAGCTGCATCCTGAAGTTCTGCGTCGTCACCGGCTGAGGCGCGGCGATTGGAGGCAGCGCGATGTTGTGCGGTGGGTCAAGGAGAGCGGCGACTACTTATTCGATTGGTGGGAGGTGTGCAAAGGCAGGCGGAGGCGGTATGACGACGAAGGCATCTTGAGCCGGCTGCGCGGCCGGCGCGACGATCGCGGGGATCGGCGCAGCGACAGGCGCGGTTGGCATAGGGGTAGGCGGAGCAACAGGCGTGGCAGGCGCGGCTGTCGGGACATTGGCAGTATCTGCCGCGTGGACTCGGTCACGGTTCTCCACATGGCGAGACGGGTGGCAGAAGGACGGGCGGACTGGGCTGGGCCTGCTGCGCTTAGGCCTGCGACTCTCCTGGTCACGCTCGTCGTCGTCGTCGTCGTCATCATACTTGTTCGCAGCGTGCCCCTTCCTGGGCTCTTCATCGACCTCCTCTTCCTTGACTTCCTCGACCTCCAGTGCTCTCTTCTTTCCCCTCTGGTTCTCAGTTACAGGTGCGTCTCGGTAGCCACTTGTGGCGAGTGGGCATGAGACGTTGTCAGCGCGGCCCCAAGGTGCGTCGTATCGGAGGTGGTTGCGAGACAAGGCGGCGCCTTGTCCGGCTGTATACATCTCTTGTCGGTTCGACGCGAACTGGCCAGCGGTGGATACCGCTGTACGAGTCCCTCGTCGAACATTATCGTCTCTGGGTGCTTGGTCGTTATATTCGGCAACATGCGACGGCTGTCCAAGACTTGAGCGAGCTGAGGCTACGCAGGGAGCGCCAGTACTTATCCAAATTGAGCAGCAGATAAGCGCAACTCACCTCGGTCCTGCAGGAAAGTTGGCGGAGGGCTCACGACGCGATACTCACGGTGCTGGGGCGGCGGCGAGACACGTCGGCGAACGGGCAGAAGCTGATCATGTGCGTCGTGGCTGTCACCGTCGCCGTCGTAACTACTCTCCTCGTCGCCGGACTCGCCATCTTCCTCAACGTCGGACTCGGTTGCGTAGCCATCGTGGTCGCTCGCGGCGCCGAACAGCTCGACATCCAGTCGGTTCCGTTTCGCCTCTCTCTCAGCGAGCAGGTCGCTCATGGCGACGAGCTTCCGTTGCGCGACGCCACAGAGGTTGGAGGGAGCGTCGGATGCGAGAGCGGTGGTTACTTTGAGCCAGCGGCGGAGCCACGCGATTTCTGTATCCAGGGTGTGTATTTCGCTAGTCTGGACGTTGTGGCCGGCGAGGCGGAGGATGTGGCGCGGGTATTGTCCGAGAGCATTGTGATCAGGTTGGGAGGCGGTTGGTTGTACGCGATGCGTCGATGGTGTAAGCGCGAAAAAGGTACTGTTTGGGAGTTGTATTTACTTGTATGTGATTATTGTGCGAGTGGCGAAGGCGTAGTTGGTGGGGCAGACAAGCGATGTGGCCTTATTGTTGGGCCAGAGATATTGGAACAGTGTTTTATGAAGGAGATCGCATCAAGCCTGACCTTCACGCCCACTAGTCGCCCACTGTATACACTTCCGCAACGTCCGCACGACCATGCCAAAGACGACTGCAACGGCCATGAAAGCGATAACAGCCATAAGGGGGGGGTTCAAAAATCATAATCTTCATCCCGTAATATACCCGCAGCCGAGCCCGGCGCGATGCGTCCGCTGCCTTCGAAGACATAAGTAGTCCGACACGTCATTCCGTTCGCACATCGCGCAGATCAATGATCCTAGGAAAGTAGCGAAGCTCGACGAACCAGATTGTCAGAGCTTCTTGAAGTTGGCAGGGTGAAATCGTGTGTTGTACAAGTCGGTGTCACGCCTCGATCGTAGACTTCAGATACATCCAAGTCTTCTTGCCCACCAGTGACCGATACTACCGTGCCATCTCGTTTAAAACAGATCAAAGTGTTATATTCGGTCTCATCGCCCGTTGATGTGTCCAAATGTGACTTATACTTGTTGCTGCTCTGCACTGTGCTGGTACCATAGCACTCGTACAACGACCAAGACACGACAGCGACACCCCAAGTGATTGAATAAATCAAGGATAGGAGTTACAAGCTATGAGCCCAGAATGGTCCTACATATAGCACAGAATCCGTACAAACAAACAGAGCAAGTCCAGGTGCATATGCCATGGTTCTACAGCGTTACAGGTTTACCCCAGTTTTAGTACATTATCGCCACATGCCGGGATGCTTTTCGCACTTAAGCAAGAGTGGCAAAACCCACAGCGTTCTGGTCGAACGAGAACACAGTGTAAACGTTCTTCATGAAGCTATCGCCGAGCAGCCACACGTTGTCTCCGAGTCCGACGTCCTGACCTGCGAGCGCACCGACACACTCGCTGCTACCGCTTTCGGTCTCCCCGAGGTTGAAGCTGCAAGACGAGATCAGCACGGACTCGAGCGGCGCGACCGGGCCTCCGACTCACTTGGCACTGGTGACATCCCACGTCTTGCCAGCCCAGCTGAACCCGACCGTCGGCGGCGAGTTGCACGGGTACGAGTAGTATCCATGCTCGGAGTCGTACAGCTTACCGCCCGAGACTGCGGCGTAGAAGGCTTCGACTGCGCTCGGCGGGCCGTACATGATCGTCGTGCCCGAATCGATGACGGTCTCGAAGTTGGTGTTGGGGTTCTCGGAACCGACGACGCTCTTCGCACCGGTCGGCTGCCAGAATCCTGTGGACTGGTCGATATCGTGGAACTCAATCGAGCCGGTGTACTTGGACGTGTCGGTGCCACCGAGGAAGAGCTCCGAGCCGGTCAAGGCGAGCTTGAAGGCGAACTCGCCCGCGCTGACCTGGTCCTGGACGATGAACGTGTTGAAAACAGGGTTCTGGCACGGAGAACGTGAGAATGTGCGTGGAAAGCGCGAGGAGACGGAAGAAAAGCGCACCTGTTTGAGATTCGAGATGGCGGGATAGGCGAGGCCTAGAATGCCGTCAGCCGGATCGCCCCCGAATCCGCTCGAGAGCGTGGTGACCGGAGAGAAATATTGGCTGGTCGCGGTCAGGCAGGCGATGGTCACTACAAAGGAGTCTCAGCTCAGCTCGTGATTATAACTTCTGAGTAACTCACCAGTGTCGGTGTAGACGGGACCAGAGACAGTTGACCCGTCGCCGTATTCGATTGAGAAGGTGCCGTTCTCCTTAGAAGAGGTGGAAGACGAAGAAGCCTGGTACTTGTGCTTTCCGTTGCAGACCGAGCTCGTGCAGGAGGAACTAGGGACCCACAGGTCGGACGAGCCGGTGTCGAAGTCGACGACGAATGACTGGCTGGGAGTGCCGATGGAGGCCGAACCTGTCCACTCCTCGTCGTCATCCTGGTCCATCAGCGGATCGGAGCCAGTGGCACGCTTCCGCACGCTGGTAGGGACCGTCCGGAACTCCTTGATCTCCCAACCCTCGGGAAGGCTGCCCTTGTTTGCCAGCAGATTCCGGAGGTTCTTCTGGTACTTGCTGCAGAACGCACGATGGTGTGGTCAACACAGAAACACGGTACAGGCCAGTGGAAAACGCACTTGTGAGTCTTGATGTTGTGCAAAATGGCCTTCTCATGGTCGAAGGTGCCGTCGGCACGAGTCAGTGTGCTGCGCTCTCCCAGCGCAACGCTGACACCAGAAGCGTAGGCGGCGGGGCTCGCAGTGGCGAGGAGAGCGAGAGTTATGGAAACCAGAGTTGCTTTGCAGAGCATGGTGCGGCAGGCGAAGGCTGGGGGGGAGAGTAGGAGAACTTGTTGTTCTGCAAGCAGTTTTCGGGCAGGCTTTTATGCACCCCTGATGCCTTGACCTATGTGCATGCGATGGAAAGCAGGCTGCAGGGAAGCCCGGCGTACACTATACCTGAGATCGCTAGTTGGCTGGGTGGATGCGACCAGCACGGAGGCGCTAGTCAGGCGAGATTACGCCCAGCGGCTATAGTAGTCCACCCACCTGAAGGCAGTTGGGTACGACAAGAACCAGATGCTCTCCGCCATCCCATCACGAAGGAGCGATCACTCTTAGAACCGCATGCGGAATGAAGGTGTGGCCTCCGTCGTGGGGTTTCGGGACAAGTCTGGTTATCGTCGCGGCCGGAAGCGCATGCACCCCATCAAGCGGTGACTTCGGTGAGCGCTTACATAATCACAGGCGGGGCGGCGACGAGAGCGGCGGCCTCTACTTCTATTTCTCTGTCGGTATTAGCATCGCACTGCAATGGAGATTTGTGAGACATACACGTGGCACCTTGGTCATTTCATTGCTAAGTTTCCGGCTCATGCTTACCCTCGAGAACTGTCGAAAATGCATAGTGCCGGCGAGATAGAAGTGGTGTGCACGTCACCGCATGGTTCTATGCCAAACTTTGGCTCGACAAGGCGCAAGATTTGAATCGCCTGATATAGCCTGGTCTCGCACTGAGCCGGTGGAGGCCGATCAGCACCTATTCCCGCCCATCTGCACAGCAAATTTGAACCTTTGTTCTATGATGTCTCACAAGCAAAGTTGAAATGCTTACATGAGTCGCCTCTTGTTGTCTTTCGTGCGGCGCGATGTCTGTGAAATGCAGCTCTGAGCTTATCTCCAGATGCCACCGCAGATGGTCGGATGAGTCACGGTCGCACTGCCGAGCAACAAGCAGGTGGCTGTCATCAACCACTGTCACAGCCCTCATATTAGAGCGCCAAGACTTGGCACGTGAAGCCCTAACAATGAATGACCTGCTATGTGGGGTGCTGCGAAGCTGATAAGCTCGATGAGTCGGCTGAAGTCTCGACTCTGACGGCAGTGTTAAAGAGTTAGCACGTGCATACGTTGCCGCAATTCGGTAAGAGTGTCTCTGAAGCAAGGAGTTCTCGTTTTCCGGCGTTGCATAGGCCGTGGACGACATGAGCGTGGTCGCCGGTGTTCGCACGTTCGCCTGTAGAATCTGTGAAAACTGTGTAGAGGAGGTAAGAAGTGTTTT